ATATCTTAAGACATAAATAAGGGTAGAATAATTCAATCCCTTTCCTAATTAATATTTCTTAAGGGGCGTGTAAAAAAGAAACATGACACATAATATGAGACGACAACAACAGCAACCCAGTATAATCCCACTAGTGGGGTCTGGGGAAGGTAGTTTGTACGCAAACATTACCCCTACCCTAGGATAGAGAGGATATTTCCGATAGACCCTCGGCTCCCTCCCTCCAAGAACTCTCCATCTTGCTTTTGAGGTGACTCGAACTCACAACCTCTTGGTTGTAAGTGGAGGGTGCTCACCACTGGAGCAACTCACTTTTCTCACCCATAATATGAGACAGAGGGAGTAATATTTACATGCCTAATAGTAAACAACTGACAATTGCATTTGGCTTTCACTGATTGCATGATGATCACTAAAATCTAATAAGATTTGTTTTAGTAATGAATTCCTTTTTACCAGGTTTTAACTAGTAATAATATTTTAACAGAGGGATATGCTGCACACTTATTATTTTTATGGCCTTTTGTCTTCAAGAGCATAAACGGGTCCAAATGAGCGAAATGGATATTGGTTATTTTTCCTAAACATAGGAGTACACCCCCCCCCCCCCCCCCCCCCCCCCCCCTCTCTAAACCAGTCTTTTTGGAGTTCTTTTTAATTTAACAGCTTGTTTGGACCGTTGTTATCTATCGTTTTATAATGTATTGTATTATGTTATATTATATTATATCGTTTTATAAATGCAATGTTTGGATAGATTGTATTGTTTGATGCTGTTAAATAATATTTTACAGTTTGGTTTGCCTGAATCGTAATCATGTACTGTAACGAATAAGTTTACTAAAATATCTCCAATTGTTTAAATATTAAATTTATTAAGAATTACGCATAAATATAATTTAAGAAAATCTCTTTCTACTAATTTATCACCAAATATGTCTTATAAATAGATTACGCAATTAAATTCATACAAATTCTAACAAAATTAGCTATTTTACGTTGGAGTTGAAAGCGGCAAAAGTTCTAGAGAAAAAGGAACAAAGACAAAATAGGTTATAGGTGGGAGATTTGGAGTTAAAATTATAAATTAAAAAAAAGAAGGTAAAGGGTAAAATAGAACTATGGAGTAATAAGATAGGGCATAATAGGAAATAATAATAGGAAACAATCCCACCACACCAAATCGATAATGGGACTTATCGTTGTTCCGGAACAATAAATTTAACAATACAATCCAACCAATTTTAATGAAACAATCAAAACAAACATTATTTTGTGATAACAATACAATACGATACAATGAATAACAACCATCCAAACAAGCTGTAAAACTCAATTCAATGCCAAGGTCTATCTTTTGCCACTGCAACTCCCAAGTCTTTATTCCTTTTCCCATGAAGTGTGACATTATACCTGCTATTATAGTAGGATAAGTATATACTCCAAATATGTCACAAATATACTCAAGTTTAAGACTATATCATTTGAACTCATAGCGTTTTGTCATCATGATACATCACATTTTTTGCCTCCAAGTGGATCAGGTTGTAGTAGCCTCGTTCTATCATTGGGAATGAATACAACAACATACCCAGTATTATCCCACTCATTGGAAATGAATAGCGTTACAGATATCAAATATTAACAAAGTACTCCCTCTATTTTATTTATATGACAGTGTTTGACTTGATCAGATACGGAGTTTAAAAAAGAAGAGATTTTTGGCACATACCTAAAGTAACCTTAAAACTTGTACTCTTAAACAACCATGATTTTTTTATGACTATAAGCACATTCATCAAGGGCGAAATGAGAAGTTAAAATAAAGGGTTTTCAAATATAGTAAGGTAACATTCTTTCTGAAACAAACTTAAAAGGAAAGAGCATCATATAAAATCAGGAATACAAGTCATTTATCAATCTTGATTAGAAGACATTATCTCATGTACAACTAATCAAAGGAAAGTGATTCACTTTGCAGCTCAGTTGAAAGACCTTTTCTTGAAATTGCTTCGATCAATACTTGGATATAAGAGTGGGAGTTGTGCTAATACTATTCTGTCATCTATAGTTGCAGACTGCAGTAGGAATAGATTGACCTCTTAACACAATAGATCATTTATCAACATCAAACTGTGAGAACCCTCCTTTCTTCCAAAACATGCGTGTTTTCTTATGTTTAATAACGATGGAGTGAGTCAGCTTGCATGCACCTCAATTAATTTCACGGGCATACATCCTACCAGCATAGGTACCGAGTAGCTAGCATTGTAGATGTTACATAAACCTTTCAAATTACATTAACAAAGAGGGAAAAAGACCCAACAAAAAAAAAAGAGGAAAAAAGAGCGGCGGAAGTTTGTAGACAACAGTCCATTCAGTGACTGATCTGTACAGACTGCCTGCACTCGATGAAGTCGATTTGACCTATATAAAGTTGAATAAATTTTAAAAAAATATTTCTAAGCTAGCTTCAAACTGATTGCTAAGTAAAGGGTACAGAATACCCCACCTACTGATTCAAACACCTGGATCTGCCTTAGAATACATGTTCCCTGAGCATCTACTCTACAGAAATGTGAATGTCCATGCTGAATGATGGGTATATCATGGGCCAACTGGTTTTCTATCCCAAGCCTCCCTCGCTCCAACCAAATCCGGGCGGTATCTCTTAGCTAACACTTCTACTTGTACAGCAAATGACTTACTTTCATGTTGACTTAGCTGACGAACCATTTGGTTCCATCTTTTTCGACACAACTCTCCACTCATGTGGTCAAGAAGATTGTCCCAATCCACGTCCTCTATGCAGCTTGCATCCAGTTCAAAAAGGGCATCAATTAGGCGATAGTCATCAGTATCTGCCCATTCACCTGCAGCCACCATCGGTGATGTTAATTGTCTGTACCATTTGTTGCAGCAATTTAGAGCAATCCTGGTGGACAATTTGTCACTAATTTCACTCCAGCAAATATTATCCCGTAACATCCCATGCTTAGATTTCTTCTCTTCAAAAAGCTTCAGTTGCAGATTAGCGTTCACCAATTCAAACAAATTTTGGATCTCCTCCTGAGCCCAATTTCCTTTTTTGAGATTGTCCAGTTTTATCCTATGCCATGCATTTCCCACATGTACCCTATCTTTCCCAAGTTCATCAGCCAAGATCTTCCACTTGGGCCCATGTTCTCCATAGAACTTTCGTACCATCTCATACTTTTCTTCAGTCCATTTACCCTTCTCACCCATTCTAAACAAACGTTGTGCACGTTTATAAACTGCTATATAAGGCCTGTATGGTATAGCCTTCCCTATCTTTTTCCAGCAGCCCCTTAATTCAGGAATAAATTTAGAGTCCAACACTTTTTGCAACCCGTCTCCACCCAAGTTATGTACCTCGATGTATCTATAAACAGCATCTTTGACAATTTCATCTTCTTCTTTTGTGAACCATTTGCCGCACAGTAATTTTTCTTGGTTAATTCCATGCTTCTCATCACTTGGATCATCGGATGGAGAAAAAACCTGAACATCACCTGAAAATCTCTCTTTTTTCACTCTTTCCATGTGTAAGATCTTTACAATTGTGTCCTTTTGTCTTTTTCCTCTTTCTGATGTTAGCATCATCTATTTTGCTATTTTCTATCTCTTCTATGGTTGAAACATCACCTTGATTGACTCCAGACGCAATATCTACCTGTCCATCCTCTTTGTTCCTCTTTTCCTTTTTCCTTTTCTTCCTCTTCTCCTCGGCTATAACATTTCCACCAGAGCCCTCGCTGAGTGTCTCAACCACCTCACTGTCATGTGTATCACTTGCACTTTTATGAGCAATTGTTTTGGTGTCTACAAGTGCATCATGCATTGTATTCCGCTCATTCTTCAATGTATTTTTCTTCTTCACAACATTTTTAACAGCATTCTCACACCTGTCTTTACTGGACTTCTAAGGCTGTTTTCCAGCACCTCTTTCTTTCTTTCTCTTGAGATCACGATCTTCACTTCCTGTGGGTTCTTTAGTTTCCATCTTTGCCTTATCTCTTTCTTTCTTGGTCCCTACAGAAGCGAGCTTCTCTTTCTTGAAACTTAAATCAAGCTCAACAGCTTTAACAACACCCTGTCACTCCTGAATCAGTGGTGCTAGAATTCTTTTGCAATGCACCAAAAATGGTTTCTCTGCAGAAGGAAGAGAGAGAAAAAAGTATGGCTAGGAGACTGAGCATACTACAACCCCTTGATGAGATTACCAGAACCCATTTATATACTTATATTCATATTATCTAATTCACTTGTAAGTAAAAATAACACTCAGTAATCTACTAAATTAAAGACCGAAGTCCTCAATTTTGGAATCTCTGTTTTAAGTATCAAGTTGCACAGAGGAGTCAATTGTATTTCAAACATAAAGCAAACCGCAAAATAAACATTAAATCTCACATCTGTATAATGAAATACTATTTCAGCTCCCATATTATGGTTGCTAATTAAATGGCATGGCTACTCGACTAACGCATGGCACTAAAACTCCAAAGTATAAGGAAAATATAACACATCTTGAAGGGCAAATAGAATTACCTAGTCAATTCTAAGCACCAAGGTAAATCCTTCCTGCTAAAAATCAGTCACTAACATTGAGACCTTCTGTATTTGTGGTTAAGTTTCTATCAAACTACTTTTTAGTGACAGTGATGCTCGGGCCAGCTAGAGCCCACCTCGACTATTTCATTGGGTACTTGCTATCTCCCACCAGTACAAATATCAGGTAATTCTACCTGCTTAGGTGTCACACATCCTTTTTCCGAGGAATCGGGGAGTTTTTCTAATTAAAGTGACATTAATCGAAATAGGATTATTTATTTAATTAGAGTCGCCACTTGGAATATTTGTTATGGTGTCCCAAGCCACCGGTTTATTTTAAAATCCCAAATCGAGGAAATTGACTCTTATTTATGGTCTGCGTACACAGAAGACCGAGTAAGAAATTATGTTAACCCGGGAGAAGGTGTTAGGCATTCCCGGATTCTGTAGTTTTAGCACGGTCGCTTCAATTATACATGGCTTAATTGTTAATTACGTGTTTTAGAACCTATGTACGTTTTGCCTTTTACCGCTTTTAAATTATGGTGTTATGGAACAATCTTGAAACGAACCACGTATGTAAATCCGTTTTGTTCGGGCATCAAAATCATGTCACGCGTACGTGTACATAATTAATAACACTTTATTAATTTTAAGATTGTTTGGTCAAGGTCGCACGAACGCGTACCTCGAATTATTTTGGGAATCATAATTATGTCACGCGAACGTGTACATAATCACGATAGTAAAATTAAAATGCGTCTAAATCATTCTACGAGTATTCATAAGTTAATTATTTTCTAAACTAGTTTGAGATTCGTTGTGCAAGGCCAAAGAGATTATGGATCATGCTTTGTAAAAGAAACTGTATGTTGAATAACTAAGTAATTTCAAATGTCTCATGTGTACGAGAATCTGTTGGCCAATTTATTAGAGTCCACACGACAACCACCGCTCAGCTTTATGAATTTGGCATGTAGGATGGTAAACAATGAGATAATTTCAAACAAGTGTGTTCGAATCCAAAGGAAAACACATGATAGCAAAGTTACAGTATTTAAAATTACTAGCATTGGTGGGCTAGGATAAAAAAATAAGGTTGGGCTCGAATGAAGCCTTAGTCCCATGTGACTTTAGGCTTGCGTCTGAATAGTGGCAGGCCCACTCAGCCCTTAATAGAGTTGAAACATTACTCTTATTACAGTTGTAGCCACTGGTTGTAAACAACAGCTATTCTAAATTGAAAGGATTTAATGCTAATTTCAAACATCTCAAAATCAACTACAATAGTCATTCTTACATTTATGCTGGTGTTCATATCTTGAATTAACCAAATTTCAGCATCTACTTTAATTACACTACGTGACAAATGCATTCATGTCCATAATCATATTACAGTCCATACATGAGAGTTTAACAAATTATGCCAGATTTCATAGAGAATAGGGGCTGTCATTTCAAAGGAAAATGTGAGTACATAGATGTTGAACTTACCAGTTCAAAGCTGAGAAAACACTAGGGAACAGACGAAATAAAGGTCAGAAATGGCCTCAACTAGAGCTCAGCAATGATTCCAACAGCTAACAGCAGAATTGCAGACCAAATCGGCTTGCCAAAAACCCAGAAATAATAAAGAAATTCTCTAGAATCAAGCAGAAACAGATGCAACTTCTCCACAGCCTTTTTAAAAGGAAAATCAGTGAATTCAGATGAGGGTGAGGTGAGAATGAGCTTGTGTGAATTGTGATAGAGAGAAAAGAAAGAGAGGGGCGGCGGTGAGGGGGTCCGTTCATCTGATTAAGGGGAGGATTTTTGTAGTTTTAGCTAAGAGAGGAGGGTAAACGACGTAGTTTTTCCACATACTACGTCGTTGTATTGTTTAGGCCTTAAGGCACTTGGACCGGGTAGAAAATGGACTGGGGCGGGTGATGCAGGATGCAGGCATTGGGCTGCTGAAGATTGGCCCAAATCGCTCAAGACTTGGTAGCCCATCCCCTTAACTTTGTTAAAATTCACATTTTGGCCAATTAATCAAATGACTTTTATTTTAATCATGCTTTTGACCTATGATTAATTCCTAAATGCAATTAATGAAAGATAAAATATTTTTTGATGAATTTTATGATTTAAAATATTTCTAAATATGCATGCATGAACAATGCGAATAAATGCAAAACAAATAAAAAAAACTCCTAACATTCTAAAAAGCAACTAAAATTATTTTTGAATTATTTTTAGGAGTAATTTCCTATATGGGGCAAACGTTAGGTGCTCACATTAGACAGATGAGATGTAATCACCAGAGTGTCAAAGCAAATTAAGATAAACCACAACAATCAAAATCTTACTAAATTTTTGCAAGTTTAACTTCCTTAAAGAGATAATTCGAACAAAAATAAACTTCATAGGAAACAAATAAAAAAAAATCCTAGCATTCTAAAAAGCAACTAAAATTATTTTTGAATTATTTTTAGGAGTAATTTCCTATGTGGGGCAAACGTTAGGTGCTCACATTAGACAGATGAGATGTAATCACCAGAGTGTCAAAGCAAATTAAGATAAACCACATCAATCAAAATCTTACTAAATTTTTGCAAGTTTAACTTCCTTAAAGAGATAATTCGAACAAAAATAAACTTCATCATTCTATTGATCATGGGCGAAGCTACACTCTAGCTTCGTCAGAAAATCACACTGCGTATATAGGTAAAATATTAAGTTTTAAAGGTATACAATATATTGAACACTCTTTGTTGGAAACTTTTTTTTACGTTTTTCAAGTTAGAACAGCCTTGGGAATACTAGCTTCGCCGGTGCTATTGATCACTTTATAATAAAATATCCATAAGATCTAACACCTACGACATTTGATTTTTTTTTCCTTTTGAAGATGGCATTCCAACTTTGTAACCAACATAGCATTTAAAAAGACCATCTTTATTCCTCACCAGAGCAAACTGCAACTCACAGCAATACTATATTACAGTTAAAAACTTAAACTCTCTTTCTAAACCTAAAAATTCACCAAACGTAGGTGGCATTAGTTCTACATCACTTCTTGCAAAGAGTGGAAAATAAAATATTGAAAAACTTTATTCATTTCAAAGGTTAAAAAGGTCATCTTTAAAAATTAGTCAGGATAAGAACTCCAATATTTGCATAATAGCAAGTGAAACAAACACCAAAAATCACCTGTTCAAATGAAAATCTACGAAAGCTAAATATTGTAGTCAAACTTGATGGATTTGACCTCTAAAATATTACTATTGAATTATGCCATTTGACTGTGCACGAATTTTTAAAAAACTTTGGAAATTAATGGTCTAAAACAAATCACAAATATTTGTTTGGCTAAAAATTCTGGATAAAATGAGAAGTTTAAAGTTAGATCATTATTTTGGGACGTAGTAAATATCAAATAACATTACATAAATTGATATGGAGGGGTAATATACAATGTATGAAAAATATTGGGTTCAACTGAGTACTAAACATGAATTTATCATAATCGAAACAAACTAAAGGGAAAAAAACGAAAAAAAATACAGATACGTACAAACCATAACAGATTGACAGATGTGGGGAGAGGATATGAATTGGAAAAATTTACCTGAGACGGCAAGAGGAGGCCGGAGGTGTAGCCGGAAGGACATAATAGATTGAAAAATAGGCTACGCTAATAACACAGAAATAAATCATGTGTAATGAAACAATAAAGAAGAATATTGCAAAGAAAGAGAGAGAATTCTTATTGATTTGGATGAATTACAATGGAATAGAACCCCTCTATTTATAGGGGAAAAGTAAGTTAGCCAGTGTGTGCGGGTGAAATCGAGCTCATGGTACATCCCGACCTTCGACAAAATAAGTCAGGCTCGAGACATGGCGGCAAGGGATCGAAATCGAGCCAAAGTCCCACTGGGCCAGAACCTGGGGGCATGACGCCTTCCTTCGAGAATGTCGAGGCCATGGTCCCAGAATCGATCCTGACCTCGAACGACTTCGAAGAACATTGTCAGACAATCCCGCATAGCCAATAGAAAGCCAAAATATCCGTGACCGGACGAATATCACAGCGGGGATCTCGGCACGTATCGATAAGGAACCGACAATCAGAAGATTTTTTACCTTTTATATAGTTGTACCTAAAGTAGGACTCCCCTATTATATAAAGAGGATCTGATAATTCGTGAAGGACATTGTAACATGCACTCAAAATCTATATATTATTATTTTCTTTGTCTTTAGCTCTTGTTCTTTTTCATATGTACCGGTCGTGGTGAGCCCGGCTCGAGAGTGGCTATTTCACTAAGGCTGAAACTATCCAACTCGTGTGGTTTGAATTTATTTTATCTTTGTTTATTCAATAGTAACTTAATTTATCGCTTTGTATCAAGTTAATCCACGTATCCTTAAAACCACTTACAAATTTAATTGTTATCCGATTTGAGGATAAAACAGTTTGGCGCTCACCGTAGGGCTAACGACAATAGCGACAATTTGATACAAATTCTCGTAACACACCCTATTTTACAATTGTTCTTTGAAGTGTTTTCAATTCCAAGTCAAAGTCGAAATGTCAAACCCCCTCTAAACATAGATGCCGAGTCCAGCCACCATGGCGAGAGCAACAATGTAGCACCCGATAACGAGGTGCCCCCAGTCGATCTCGGCAGAGTTCCCGTCGATGACCCTATCGACACCAGTTCGCATGTGGCCATCAATACAAATTTGCCTACCAGTCCTGAGAACAGTGTGTGCCAGGAAGTCCGATCGATTTCCCAGAATAAACACAACAGTGAAAATGATGGGATGAATTTATGGGTGTTCTTCGAAATATTACATGTTCAATAGGCAGTGATAGGCCAGTTACAAAAATAAAGCTGAGCGCCGAGCAGGGTTGAGCCCGAGCCATCCCCGGAAATCACCCGCAGAATGAACCGATCACGGAAAGGCCGAATGAAAATGAATCGGAGATCAACCCCGAGATCATAAAAATGCTCGAAGAATTGATAAAACGGATAGAATCGGGGGAGAAGGAAATTGAAGCAAATGACAAAAAGGTGGAAACCTACAATTCCAAGGTCGACCAAATCCAAGGAGCACCTCCAATATTGAAGGGCCTAGATTCCAAGAAGTTTATTCAAAAACCTTTTCCTCTGAGCGCAGCCCTGAAGCCGATCCCAAATAAGTTATGCATGCCCGGGATTCCTAAGTACAACGGAACGACCGACCCAAATGAGCATGTGACTTCCTATACATGCGCCATCAAATGGAACGACTTGGAGGATGATGAGATCGAGTTTGTCCTGCTGAAAAATTTCAGGGAAACTCTATCCAAGGGAGCTATGATGTGGTATGACAACCTACCTCCTAATTCTATTGACTTATTTGTTATGCTTGCAGATTCCTTTGTAAAAGCACACGCCAAGGCAATCAAGGTCGAAACTAGGAAGTCATACCTTTTCAAAGTGAAACATATGGATAATGAAATGCTCAGGGAATTCATGTCCCGGTTTCAAATGGAACAGATGGACTTGCCTTCGGTCACGGACTACTGGGCCGTTCAAGCCTTCACCCAAGGACTCAATGCTCGAAGCTCGTTGCCTTCACAACAGTTGAAACAAAATCCGGTGGAGTACCCGGGTGTTACTTGGGCCAATGTGCATAATCGGTATCAATCAAATATCAGGGTCGAAGATGATCAATTCGGGGGCCCTTCCGGGTCTTTTGACCCCGTCAGAGCCGTCGACAAAGTTAGTAGAGACGTTGATCCTGAACCGAGGTCGAACATGGATCAGTAGCAGACATACAATAAAGACAAAGAGGTGGCCGAGTTGGGTGAAAACCCATAAAAAGTGAAAGAATGAGTGATCGGGGTCAAAGCAATCGGGGACTCATAAGAAAAAATAGTTTCGACAGGCACATTGAGCATAAGGAGGTGCCAAGGCTATCGGATTGCAACTTTAAAGTCGATGCCGCCACCATCGTATCCCCCATCGGACGCATCAAAGATACCAAATGACCTCGACCTCTACATTCTTATCCAGCCCAAAGGGATCCTAACCTAATGTGCAAATAACATGGCACTCACGGCCACAAAACAAAAGATTGCCTATAATTAAGAGAGGAAGTAGCCCGATTATTCAAAAACGGACACTTCCGAGAGTTCCTGAGCGATCGAGCCAAGAACTACTTCAGGAACAGATATTCTAGTAAACAGATTGAGCAGGAGGACCCTCAGTACGTCATTAACATGATCATCAGTGGGGTCGGCATTCCCTAGGGGCCGATGCTAAAGCGCGCCAAAGTATCAATCACACGAGAAAAATGGACTCGAAATTACATGTCGGAGGGAACCTTGTCCTTCAACGACGAAGATGATGAGGGGATCGTACAGCCCCACAAAGATCCACTAGTAATATCATTACTTATAAATAGATCTTGAGTTAAGTGTGTGTTAATTGATCTAGGTAGCTTGGCCAACATCATCAAATCGAGGGTCATAGAACAGCTCGGCCTACAAGATCAGACCGTGCCTACTGTCCGAGTCCTAAACGGGTTCAACATGGCATGTGAGACCACTAAAGGGGAGATAACACTACCGGTGAACACCGCCAGAACCGTTCAGGAAACAAAGTTTTATGTGATTGAAGGGGACATGAGGTACAATGCTTTGTTAGGAAGACCATGGATTCATAACACGAGGGCGGTACCCTTGACTCTGCACCAGGTGTTGAAGTTCCCGATGCCGGGAGGAATAAAAATAGTTTATGGAGAACACCCGACCA